AGCAGCGAGGCGACGGGCTCTGCAGAAAGCTGGTGGCTGCAGGAGCTGGCGTTACCCCTTGGCGGGGGCAAGGGACAGAGGGGACACCCCGAGCTGAGCAGGATCCGGTGAGTGCCTTCGCTTTCTCCGTGTGGTGTTTGATCAGCAAAAGCTCCTAATTAAAACACAGGTGAAAGTCATCCTCGGCCACTCTGGCTGCACCCCAGAGCAGGTTACCCATCTCCTCCCACAGTGATAACCTGGGACATGTAGGGACATGTAACCTGGGGACAGCTGACCCCGGTGGCACTCCTGCTGTCCCTGAAGGAAAGGTGATCAGGGATCACTCACACCCTGCTGCCGCAGGGACAGCCTGGCTGGGGACCCCACAGTTTGTGTTGTGCACCGCAGGTTTCCCCTGCAGGGCAGGGGGAAAGGAGGATCCGGCTGGGTCCGCTGTGCTGGAGGCACCAGAAACACAGGACAAAATGCTCCCTGACCCCCTCAGAGGGCCCTGGGCTGGTCCCGGGGTCTTGGACGTGTGGAGACGGGCTCTGCCCCCCGCAACAGCTGCTTGACGATGGGAACAGGGAACTGCAGGTCTCACCCTGCCCTTTGCTGACTGGACTCAATTTACCAGAAACCCCTTTTGAAGAGCATCTTGAAGATCAATTTAATTTTATTTAATTTTATTTCAGAGTAGCCCAAGTCAGCCTCTTTGGTGTTTTACCCAAAATCCTGTCCTACCTTTGACCGACGGTGACTTGCCACCACAGCAGCACATGTTCAGCCCCTCTCAACCCCAACCCTGCCCATAGCGACCTGCCCTCCAGCCTGGGCTCCCGGGATGTTCCCCAAACCCAAGCCCACCAAGTTAAACCCCAAACCCCTCCAAGGACAATCCAGCTCCCAGCCCACACCCCCAGCCATGCCCAGCAGCTGGTTCCCCCCCCTGCTTCATCAACCCACCAGGGTGGGACTGCAACTTTCTGCTGCAGATGCCATGGGCGCCCGGTACTTCCCTGCCCGGACCGTGCTCTTCGAGAAGGAGTCCAACGGCGTCACGTACCGTGTGCCTGCCCTGCTTTACCTGCCCTGCGTGGCCAAGCTGCTGGCTTTCGCGGAAGC